ACATGCAATACTGGTCAACCAAAGACTCATTGACAGTTTCTTTCAGCATAGAAATAGAAGACAGAAGAACAACCATGTTAACTATCCTGTATATACATACATACAAAATTTCTCCTTCTTTCCCTTCTCTACCCCAGTCCTTTAAGAGTGAGAATGGGCCTCCTCTTACCTCTGGAGTAAGTCAGGGGGTGGTCTTTATGAATAATGTACCATCTCCATTCTGCATGGAGACCTCAGTCCTTCTGAAAGATTGAAAGAGCCAACCAGACCCTACAGTGAACCTTACTGAGTGAAACTTTGCCAAGAGACTTCTGAAACTTGGCTCCACTTGTACCAGTAACCCTCATGTGAATTTGAAACACACCAAACACTGGGTTAAGTATGAGTCTGTATGGGAGGCCTCTTCTATCTTCTGGTGTGGTAGTAGGCTCAGGGTCCACAAGACTCTTACAGTGTCTTGTTAATAATGGGCCAAGTACAATAAACCAACTATATGGAACAAAGTCCTGGGAGCTTCTGGCCCGGGAGGAACAGCTGGTGTCTGCCTTGGAGACCAAGTGCTCATTACAACTTGGAGAGAAGGGCTCCTGTAGAACAACTGACAGCAAAACAGAAGGGCCCTGTCCGGTGATTCCTACCACACCCACTGCAGGAAAGGTGGCAGAGAGAGGTAGCTGGGTTCACCTTTCTAGGATGAAGCTACCCCACCTGAACTTAGTATCTAATGATTTATTTTTGGTACCGGGACTCAAACTTCGGGCCTCACACATGCCAGGCAGGCACTGTGCTGCTAAGCTACATCCCCAGACCCTTAGTTCCTTTTTGGTGGAAATGTGTGCTATTTTTTTTTTATAAACAAGCTGAAGTGCAAACTATGGACACTGGTCATCTTTCACATGAGTATAAGTAGGTACAAGACTTGTTCCTAAAAAGAAAAACAACCGCTGAGCCCCAGTGTAAATGCAGTCCTAATTTTATTGCCAAGCTGTTCATTGCAATGCTTAGTTGATGGTCTTTTCTGCTCTAATGCATGAAGGCTCTGCTTCTTAGTGTCTCAACAACAGTGTCCTAGCAAATATAAAACATTTGCCAAATACTTTGGTGAAATGGAAACTTTGGAGTAGTTTTATAGGATATTTCTCAAGTGTAAAGAGCTTTAGAGGTCACGCTTACATACATCAGGAGTGGAAATGGTGAAATGTCTATTTGTCTCAATCTCTTCCTCTTGCAGAAGTGTCTGATCACATTGCTCCTGACACTGAGGTGTACCTGGCAGTGGCAACTCAGTGGCCTACAGCTTCTTGACTGATCCGTGTCTGCTTTGTTTTTCTTCCTCATTTAGAGTGTCTAGATTATGTTGAGATGGGACAGAGTTCTCAGGTGCTCTACTTAGCAAGTAAAGCTGGCAAAATTCTTTTCATTAATGAGAGTGTACAATGTTTACTTGAAATGTGAGACAAAGATTTGCTTTCCTAATACACATTTTCCCCGGTGCCAGTCACTCTCCTTTTCCTTTGTATTCTGAAGACATATGGGTCAATGAATACACAAGCATGAAGACAAAGGAAGTATGAGAGCAGTGCGGAAAGTAGGTGAGAAGAGCACAGTCATTTTAGCAGCACTGGAGGTGCAGAGTCAGATTCAGGCCATAGCAAAATAAATTTTTAACAAAAATAAGCAAAATATGGTTATCTATGCTGCTGACAGCCAGGAGCATATGCATTTGGATTATAAATATTTTCAAAGGACTTGGCCGGGAGCCCCAGTGGTTGTATTCTAAAACACTAAGTAAGCTATGTTAATGCCGAGGCCAAGTTTGCCGTCAACTGTTTTCAGCCAATTAATAAGTGTATCAAGGATAAAAAGACACAGAATAATACAATAGGACAATGACGTAAGGTTAGAGAGGCCCGGATTTCTCACAGCTGCACTGAGCTCTAGACCCCATGTTTAATTCTGCCTATGCAGCATGAAGAACTGGATGCATGGGTTCCTCCTCCTTCCATCCCACTCTTGGGCCCAGACTTGCATGGCGGGCTGATGGTGTCTCAGGCTCCTTTGCTTTCACCGAGGTTTGCCCTAGTAACACCTCATTGGGCATCGGTGCGTGCTTCTCAAGGGCTCATACAAGCATCCTATGCTCATAAGACACCCAGAATTAATGCTGGAAAAATATTTGCCTGAGTAAAAACACAATTAAATGATAAATCTTTACTTACTGGAGAAGTAATGATAGGAGGCTGTTCTCCGAGGCTCTCAGTCACTATGCCAGCATGTAACCTGGTAGACATCCTTGCTTATCAGCACAAAGGGACTAAGAACTGCATAACCAAGTCCTAGAAATATTTTAATATTTAGTATGGTGAAGTCACGGGTTACCATGGACCCTATGTAAAAGGAGAAAATGAAATCTGCCAAATAAAACAAAAGGAAACAGGCCATGAGAATGAGTATATTCAGTGTAGCTCTGATTTCGGGGCTGGAATTCACTGCCAGTCGGGAGCTGTGCAAGTAGAGCACACGCTGGTGATGTTCGTACAGGCGGAAAGCCATGTGTCCGCTGCTCCAGCCCATGAGACCCTGAAAGAGGACATCCCGAAGAGCCATGAGAGAGAGGAAAAGCCAGCGGACTGTCTGTCCAGATGATAGTAAGTAACAAGGTCCAGCATACACTCCAACTTCAGATCTGTTCATGCTACTGACTGCTGTGATGTAGTGGAGCAAATTGGAGCTTAGCAGAAGATTAATGATCCAGCAGAGGAGAAGACAGGAAAGGACTTGCCGTGTAGTCTGTGGTTTAAGCTTTCTCCAGAGGATGGTCTTGGGACTGATGGTGGTGGCCTGGACCATGCTGAGAAGACAGGTGGTGCAGATGGAGAGACCCCAGGCCACCCTCTCCATGTAAACCACAATTTTACATCCAATATCACTTAGGAAGTTATCAGAATGAAAAGGTGATCTTCTTTCTGTAATTCTCGCAACACAAAGTGTCAGCACATTAGCAAAGGCCAGTTGAATGAGAATAAGGTCTACGGGCTTTTTCTGAAGCCCCATGATGGACAGGGACACATGCTTCACAAACAAAAGGGCATTTCCTCCAATGCCTGGTCCAATAAGAGCAAAGAATATTATCCTGAATATTGAATGCATTGGATGATCCTCTGACCCCATGTGGAGAAGGCAGAGAGATTCTAAAAGACAAGAAAATGAGCAAGCAGGAGATGTTTCAGCCTGTGGTGTTTCTCTGCTTCACTTAAATGAAAAGAGCAGCTGTAATGCTGGAGGGTCTGGAGTGCGTGGTTCTGTCGGTGCGTTCTCTTCTGCGTTACTCAGGTTATTACTTTTCTGTGATTTGATAGGTTCATAGAGATGATGATGAAATCTTGTGCACAGCCCATTATTTCTGTCTCATGGTGTACTCTGTGCTTCTGATTCCACCTCTTCTCACCTTTGTGAGTTCCATATGTCAACAAAACCCATTAATATTCCTGCTTTAATTTATGCATTTCATGAAATATGCTCGATTCTCCCTCCGTAGTCCTGCATTTCATCTCACTCCACAGTCCATCAAACTTCACACTGTCACCAGCACTGGCTCCCGGTGCGGGCCCTGCTTGTAGCCTGTACACAGCTCCCCAGTCGCTCTATGTGCTGGCTGGAAACGGTGCTGCCACCATCTCCCTTGGCTAAGGAGCCAATTTCCTCTAGAAGGATGAATGAACACTCTCTCTCTCCTTTCTCAGAAAACCTTGGCTAATGACTGACTGACCGGGCAGGAAAGCTGCCCCTGGGCCTCCACTGTAGGTGGGTTATGCTGTGTAAATGTGTCCGTGGACTCATCGACTGGAGGTGGTTGATGTATTTTGTTAATAGGCTTGTACTTGCAGCCTAAGTTAATTAGCTGCCCTCACTAATTGTATTTTAGCCTCTTCCAACTCAAAAATAACTCATGTGAACACAAATTTTATCTTCAGAATTTGCTTTGGGGCAACTCTGCCCTCCAATGCATTTCTGTGTTCTCGCATAACAGCTGTCTAATCTTTCTACCCGCGGTTAGCGAAGCTACCTTGATTCCTCATGCCGTGACTGGTACACCATGTTTCCAACTCATCACTTTCCCTCCAGGTGTATCGGCCCCTCCCCTGCCAGGCTGAGATTGCAAAACACGAACCTGGTCATGCAAACCCATGTCTCATGACCCCTTGAGTTTTACATCTATCCAGTACACTTGTCTTTTGTTCTGGCTAAAGTTTTATTCTCTGCCCTCTTTGAAATTTATACTTAATTTCCAAAATTCATTAACTTCTCACAAAGTAAATTAATCCTGGCACTTACCTTAACCCCAGCAACTTGTATAAAGTCCCGGTGGCAATGTCTGTGACCTGCTGCCCCAAGACTTTGTAGCTGGCTCCTGTCTATGCATTCTGCTGGCTTAGATGCTTCTTCTCCCCAGATTCCTGTCATTGTGCTGCCACCTGCTGCTTCTTACTTTGACCCCACCTTTCACTGTAGAATAGATGAAAGCCTTTTAGTTCCTATCCTGTATTCAAGTGATCCGATTCATTCTACTAGGAGTGGCTTAGAAACAAACAATCAGACAGGCAGTGAGTTACGGTTGTACAAGTACACACTGATTTCCCAGGTGGAGTTAGGGGCTAATGAGGGATGGCACCATTTGAGCAGCTTAGTTTTCTCCATGACTTGTAGTTCTAGATGTCTGGAGAGCTCAGGTTACTCTATGCTGGGTAACACACCAGTTGGATAGGGAATGGTCTCCTCAGATATGTGGGTGGATTTGAATTTTGCAATAGCCACTCTAAATTTTCAATCATGCTTCCTCTAGTTTCTAAATGGAAGCTGCCTGACCTTTGTAAGACACAAAATTCTCACTGTAAATCAGGGTGGTGCTTCGTGCTACCCTGGTCTGTCATAAGGGGGAGTAGGAGAAGAGGTAGGCAGTGCTCATGTCTGCCTGGTGGCTTCTAACGAACAGGTGCACAAAGACAAGATGTTCTTACTATGTGCTCCGTCTACCTGTGCTTTTTCAATGTGTCAACAATCTGTAAAAAGCGCATCACATTAGGCTTTGGAGCTGGAGTACTACTTGGGATAATGCAGAATAATTTAAACATTGTTAGAAATCGTAAACAGGGCAAGAGTATCCCAGGCTGAAAAGAAGGAAGGTCACCAGCACTAAGTCTCATGACCTCAGCAACAGTTAACGTGCAAATTCTCCATTATGAGGTTAGAATACATGAAGGCAAGGAAGAACCCTACACATGGCAGCTGAAATGCCATGGAGGTCCAGGGCTCCTGCTCCTCCTCCCTGGTACAAAGAGCTCCATCAGGTATGGTGCGTCACGCACACTGTTGCCCAGGGAGAAAGAGCTATCCAATTGGCACTTGGGAAATGATGGCCTATTTTCTAGGTCCTTCCTCTTCCACATGTGATCCTCCCCTCCACCTCCACCTGGTCCTGACCCACCTGCCTCCAGCAGTTCCCCTTCCACAGCCGAGGCAGCCGCAGTCCTCAGAGTCAAGAGCGCTCACCTGCACAGGCTGTGCAGCTGGCTCAGGGCGGATTCTGAGAGCAGCACGCCAGGCTCCGTTTATCCTTCCCCAGGCCCAGGGCTCATGGCCAACTCCCACTGCTGTCACAAGATGTCAGCATAATGAGTCTTGGCTTCACCAGGGGAAAGGGCTCCTTCTGCTCATCTGCATCTCTAGGGCACAGCTCTGCTCTGTCTCCCTAGTGGCCCCCAACTTCCCCCAGTTGCTGAGCCCAGCAACTTCCTGAGGCCAACTTCAGTGAGATTGGAGTAGTGAGGAGCAGGCAAGCGTCCATCTCTGTGATGTCACAAATGGACTGAAAATGTCATCACCAAGGGTCAGAAATTCTCCAGTATTTTTGACCATGGAATGATTCTCTAACAAACAACTTAAAAATACAGAAGGAAGACCATCTTTCCAATAAAAGAAAAGAAAACAGCATCAGAAGGAGCACACTTTTGGTAGTTTGATTTCAGGGGGGATGTGTACAGGAACTTGGAACTCTGCAGGTGGAGAACACGCTGGTGATGCTTGTGGAGAAGCACATTATGTAGCCACCGGACCCACCCATGATGCTCTGAAGCACAGCATCCTGCAGGATCACGAGCATGAGAAAAACGTATTTTATTTTCTGTCTTTCTGGTGCAAAATCACAATAGTTGTCATGCTTCTAATTTGTCAAGTGTTTATGCTGATATTTGTGATGGAATAGAATAAGTTCATACCTATCAAGGAATTGAAAACCCCAAAAAATGGAATGTAGGAATGGAATACAATAGGGGAAGGATGTGCCATGCAGACCTGGGCTGCACCTCCTGCACCTGGGGTGTCCAGAACGCATGGCGATGGCCTGGACCACCGTAAGGAGACTGCTGGTGCAGATGAGAGGCCCTGGGCCACCCACCCGAGATAAACAACAATTTTACATTCCATATCACCCAGAATGCTTCTGAGCCCCAAAGCTGCTGTTGTCTTTGGCAATCCTCTGCAAATAGGCATTATAATATTTGTAAACACTAAGTGAATGGTAATAAATTGTAGTGATTTATTTGTTCTCAGTGTCTCTCCTAAAATTGCACATATAATTCACAGAAACAAAGGTGTTTCCTACAATGCCATATCCAGTTAGAAAAACCCAGATTGCTCTGCTGACATGGTTGAAAAATATTTACTTCAAAGGCAGAAACCTTGGGTCCATCAAATACCTTTTTGAGAGAGCGTCAGCAATGATGACATGTATATGTATCTAAAAAATTACTTCACATTCTATTATTGGTTTGTAACATATGTAATAGTGTAGATTTTTGTCCCAGGACGCTATTCCTTTCTAGGTGGAGCCCTTAGTGAGTTATTCTCTGTTCTATCAAATACTCTCTTCATAAATACTCCTCAAAATTTTTTTTAATTTAGTTTTAGTTTTTGAGCTCCATTTTAGCAAAAGCAACATACTTGTTCCCATTTTTGTGTACCCACATAAGTTTAACTCAGCACGCCTGAATCAAACCCCAAACTTCCCATCAGACTCCTGTCACAAGATTCCAAAAGCCTGAGCTCATGCTTAGCATGTCTGCTTTCCAGATACCACACAAAGTGACTGTGAAACCATGTTACTTCAACGTCTTAAATGGCTCATAAATTTAATCCCTCATAAACTTCCCCACCAGCTTTTATCTTGTTAAGTATTTCATTATATCTCTTTTTTCTGAAAATAATAATCTCCAGGCTTATTTTATCTTATGGAAAAAAGATAAAATTTCACAACAGAATAATAGAAGTTAATGCATTACATGTTGTTATCTTTAAAGTAGTTGCTCAGGGTACAAGATATGGACATAAAAATTTCTTCAATCAATATTAGCACAAACCTTCATTTTTAATGATCTAAGAGACACTAATAATGCAACTGACTTGCATTTTTTCCCCTTTCCCTACCCATCCTAGTGCCTTTTACCTTTTGAACAATTTATTCCCATTTCACAGTACCTATTGTACAGTTTAGACTTTAGTTACTTTTTAAATTTCTCACACAAGGGAGATAATATGATGCATATACGTGTGAGTACAATTTATTTCACTTACGAGTATGGTCTCAAGTTGCATCTGTTTACTTATAACAGTCACAAGTTTATCCTTCTTTATAGCTGAGTACTACTCCATTGCATAAAAATACCACATCTTTTAAATCCATTCCTCAGTTAATGGGTTCTTACCAAGATTTAGCTATTACAAATTGTGCTTCTATAAACATTGGTGGACATATACCACTGCGGTATGATGTTTTTAGTTGCTCTGGGAAGATACCCAAGAGGTGAATAGCTAGGTGGAATGGGACCTCTAATCTTAGTTTTTCAAGGAATTTCTACAATCCCACCAACAGTGGAGAGGGTTCCTTTTCCCCCACAGCCCCTACAGCATTTGTTATGGGTTGATTTCTTGATGGTAGCCACTCTTTCTGGAGTAAGATAGAATTACAATGTTTTAATTTGCATTTCTCAAATGATCAGTGATGTTGAACATTTTTTCATATATTTATTTGCCATTTGTATTTATTCCTCTGAGAAGTGTGTATTCATCTCAGATGCCCATTTTTGGACTGGGTCTTTGAATTTAAGAGTCTGATTTTTTAAATTCTTTATATGTTCTAGATGGAAGTCCTTTGTCTAAGAGACAATTGGCTAAAATTTTTGTCTTTTCACTTAGTTGGTGATTTCTTTTGCTGTACAAAA